GATGGAATTACGCTCGCGTAGGGACCGCCAGTAGTTCCGTGCTGTCCGCCGTGCGGGTTGGATATGACATACTCGTGACGTGATAGTCGATCGTCTCGTCTCGTCTCGTCTCGTCACCCCCTTTAGCCTACCCTTATCCTACGAAACGAACGTCGTCAGCAACGTCGAATCGCGCGCGCTCGTTTCTCTCTCTCGCACTCTCTCGCTCTCTCGTTTTCTTTCTCTCCTCGAGTGGACCCGGGGACACGAGGAGTTCGATCGTGCGGAAGGAACGTCGCTCGCGCCTCTCCGCGTCCGCGCTTCGCACCTGGAGAGAGTCTCGTTTCAACCCCCGACGAGCGACCGCGTTCGGTGGACGCGCGGGTATACATGTCGTGATGCCGCGGGGTGAGCGACGCGCGCCGCCGAGAGGACTCGCGGCCGAGGGTGCTTCGATCTCGTCCTGACGATACCAGCTCTCGTGCGTCAGCCCTCCCCCAGTGGACCCCGTAGTGATGCGTACGGTAGAATAATGTTGGTGTGAGTGTGAGGAACCTCGGTGGTGTACTCGGGCTCGGCGGATGGATCGGGGCTGCGTCTTTAGAGATTGTGCCGGCTGTGCCCGCTCGTGATCCCGAAAACGTGAAAAACAGAGGCGAGCGCGACGACGCGACATATAACACGAGATACCCCGTACTCTCTCGTATCCTCCTTCGTACGCGAAGTGTGTGCGACGTGTAACACGTGTGACAGTTACCCGTGGGATACCACCGCGGATTATACGTTTCTTCGACCGCAAAAGGGTGGTCGGAGGCGTCGTGTGCGGGATTACACACATACGTAGTACACACATACACATCCCAGTGGTTCTCCTTGGTGCACGTTACGGCGGATTCATCCCTAAAGGATATGTCGCTATAGTATTCGCGCGGATCGCAGCTACGATGGCCGGATACTCCAGTGCGCTCAATACGGATTTCGCTCCGGAATCAGCGCGGAGGATGCAACGATCTGGGATCGATGCTATCGGGGATGCCAGGGAATCCTCCGGATGCGCGATTACGAGGTACATACCTTACCGTTGTGAGAAGCAGCTACGATACTGATCGATTATTAGAGCAGCTAATATCTCCCTTAAATCGTGAAATTTACATTATGAAAATTTCACCGCAAAGCACACGTTCACTCGTGCGTGAAATTCATTATTTTGATGTACGAGATAAATATATTATTTATGTAGGAAAGACTATATATGTTTACGTAGAAGGGATAGATTATGCTGCAAGAACATTAATTTACCTCTACGTTATAAAATCTACTTGTGCATATCGCATGTCACGTACTTTAAATATCAAATATTCGGTCGCGTAGTTAAATACATAAATTTGAATACACGTGAAACATCCGTTCAAAGAGCGCTCCATGTACATACATTTTTGATATTATAACAAACTTTTGATATTATAACAAATATTGCATTACAAAATGTAGTACACTGCGTTTCAAATCTGATATATATAAAGATTGGTCCATTCTATTTCGTAAAAATAAACCGAGTGCGCGTGTGCTGCGGAAAAAGAAAAAAGAAATTTCTTCGTCTCTCTCTTTTAAAAACTTTCGAAAAAGCGTGCAGCGTTCTTTGAGGGGCGGCTTCAAGTGAGAAATGGCTTTTTAATTACCGTATCGTAGCTGCTAAATGTGAACTACTAAACATTCAATGGAACATGCGAAGTAATGAAAAATATTATGGTTGCCGTACGTATGCAGTTATTGTTCTTGTAGGTAAATTTAGTATCTCGTCGTTTCATAATTAAACACGAATATCGCGAGAGAGAGAGAGAGAGAGAGAGAGAGAGAGAGAGAGAGAGAGAGAGAGAGAGAGAGAGAGCTCATTTCTGATCTCACACGACTGCAGTAAATCTAAAACATTTAAACGTACGTCACACGTATACATTATACATATGCACATACGTGCGACGCCACTCGCATTTGCCACAATGCAGAATAATCTATGGGGATTCCAGCGACAACGGTTTCCACGTCCGTTGCGCGCGCGTACGTGTGCGTGTGTACGTTCGACGCCTTAAAATATTCACGAGATCAATATTCCGCACTTGTCGCGATATACGATTTTAGCCGGCACAACGCGCCGTGAGAGACTTTTCATCGAGAATTTCGGCAAGTAGATCAGACAGGAGCAAAACGCGAGCCATTGATACGTGACCTCTCGCGCGATGCGTGCACGCCTTCACGTATTATTTATCTTAAACTGTCTAGTTACCCTAACTAACATCCAACAATAAGTTAATCAAAAGCTCGCATCTCCGGCACTTCTCACGCTCTTCCAGAAATATTTTATAAAACTTGATAAAACAATATTTTTACGCGACAATATTAATACGATTTTATATAAAAATAGAATCCCTTCTCCCGGTCAATTTCGTCTACGTCTTACGTGACGTGCGGGTTTACATGAAATATCGTGGAGTTAAGAAAGCTGTTCCTTTAATTGATTACAAGAACCCGTAATTCCCGAAACAGGTGCGGGCCTAATGGACCCGTCCACCGGGCGGAGGGTTAAGTGACACGCGGTGAAATTAAATGCCGTTACCCCCGTTAAGAAATTTACGCGATCGATACAGATACGCGTGATATAAATATGGCGCTACCAAGGTCCAAGAGATGCCAGATCGCCACATCGGCCGATGATAAATGGTCGAGTTAATGGCCGACGTACTATTAATGAGAAAGAGGATTTGTTGATGTCGGCAAAAATAAGCGACCGACGTAAAGGGTGGTAGATGTTTAGATTAAGCTTTTTGCTCGTTCATCTTTGTTAGGGACTGGCCATCGTGGCCGGCAATAGGATTTTGATTCCAACGTTCTCGATTTTATATATGTCGAAAAAAATTCCTCTCATCTCACTTTAATGCACTTAACTTTGCAGATACATTCGTAAAAAACTATTTAAAGAACGTCGCAAATTAGCCTAGTTTTATTTCTGAGTTTCTATATATTTCATCGCGTTTAATCGATATTCCATCTTCTCGTTGAAAATTAAACATTAATGTTGCAATGTGTAAATGGAAAAATAAAGGAACTAAAATATTTATGTTACTTATAAGACAGTTTGACGTTTGAACAGTTTTTTTAAATTTTTATATATAAAATTTTACATCGTCACTATAATGATTTCAGTTGTCCTGCGCGATATAGCAGATGTATAATTCAATGTTCGGTAACTTAATCGAAATGTCATTGCATATCGCATATTTAACGATACGTTAAATTCTCGACGTTGTAACATCTTGATGTCGTGTCAATTTTACTCCAATTACTTATCTATGACAAGTGCGAAAAGATTTTTGAAAGAGCGCGGAGTTTTATCGCGGATACCGATACAATTTTCAACTACGATAAAACGCGGGCGTGGTATACTCGTAATTTAAGAAACACATTTCTTCCAATTCGAAGTAGAGTGCGTATATATATAATAAATTTACATCTTCTTTAATGCGAGCGCGGCATAGTAGTGTAGATATTTGCGAATAAAGGTAGCTAAGAGAATATAACGTAATATTCGGTACACCGCTACTATGTTGCTCGGAAATAGTTTCTAATATGTGCACAGAGAGCTCATAGTGCGAGCGTTCACGGGTTAATGTCTCTATATTCGGGCGTTCGTGTTTGTGACTGAAAGCGTGGACGTATAGATCGTATCGGCCGGACATTTACTGCCTTCATTGCTCCCTGGTAAAGAAATATTTGAGCAACAGCTTGGGATCCTATAAATTTGCAGTATGAAATCGATTAGCTTTCGCAAACTTAAGCGGAATTTATTAACAGTCTTATAGCCTTCCCTCGGCTCGTTTATACGCGAAACATCCTTATTGTAGCAATTTCTTTCGTTCAACAAGATGTTGGACAACCCCCCCGAGGTGTATTTGACTGTTTGCATTCGGCGGAACTTACCGGCGTAAGATAATATCGCTAATTAGTTCCAAATATTATATATCGCAGCACGAGATTCAACAACACCGACATTGTTGCGGATATCGTTGAAAAATTTACGTTTATGCCGAGATGGAGATAGAGAGTTACACAGAGTTGAAATTCGCTTTACGAAATATCTGGCGATGAAAATTGAATGCGATCGAATCGAGACTTTCGTCAAATCAAAAAGCCGAAATATGTCAAAGCCTGTCCGTGCCTGTGGATCAGGATTGTGACTAACGATCACAGCGGTGGCTCGAGCACGTCTGTGTCTTGTGTCATTCGTGTACACTTTCTGTGTACCTTACGTATGTACGTTACATGATAAGCTAACAGCCCCTAATAATTAAGTCGGAGGGCAAGCACGAGTCTAGGAGCGAGTCTACTCGCGTGCATCCATCGGTGATTTTCAACGTTTAATGAGAAATCTAAATTGCGGATTGAATGCCGCGATGAGTTTCCGCCGCAAAGTTCCACCATGGTACGCGCGAAGTTAGAGCAATCGGAATCTTAAGATTCTCACCAGGAAGGTTAATTCCACTTAATAGCACGGGGAGGGAAGGGAAGGGAAGAGGGGGGGGGGCGACTTCAATCTCTAAGGTTTTATAAGTTCGATAACGAAGCCGTAGAAGAGCGCGTCTTCAAACGCTACTGAGAAGAGAAAAATTCTAGAGTTTTCCGCAAGACACCGGATTACGAGAGTTTCGGCAAAGTCGCGAGCGTCGTAGGCGCGATGGATGGAATTCATAGATGGAATTTAGGCCGTCGCCGAGGGAGGATGGATAGCGATTTAATATTTGCACGTTGTAGCGGCAAATCCGTCGCGCCAATCCGCCAGCGGATGAAAACGCGTTAGAAAAACACTTAGACGAAAGAATAACAGGGCCCACCTGAGATGAGAGAAAGGTCTCGCGGATCTCGCGAAGCGGATAGAAATCTTAGTTTAATATCACGGTTCGCTCGCAATAAAATGAACGTTTGATTACCCCTGCCACTTGGAATTTTCGTGACACGTTGTAGCTGTCACCTACTACGAGTATTATAAAAAATAGAGAATTTTCTTTTCTTTTTTTTTTTTTTGGAAATAAAAATTGAGAAAATATATTTAATTCAATTTGTACGTTTACGAATGTTTAACACGATTTTATTAATGTCATGTTTTACTAATCCGTTCGCAGCATTACCAGGTTCTACCATTTTTATTGTTATATTTAATTGATACGCGCGTAATACGCGCTGGTAAATGTAATTTAAATGTATGTCATATATATATATATATATAAATACATCTCACATGACTTCTCGCGTGTGATTTAGCATATTATCTCGATTCTATGAACGTAACTCTCCTTCTTTATCAATTATCAATGAGATAATCAATAAAGCTGCTTGTATTCCGTTCGGTGCATTACTATTTTCTCTCTTTGTTGCTCATTATTAACAGATTGCTATTAATTATGGTTCTCCGAATGAAAATTAATTCTTGATAAAACGTACAACATGTGTGATCGAATTACGCTCGGATTGTATTGTGAATAATTCAGATCGTATAATCGTCAGAGCATAGTTGTTGCCACAGCAACATACGCTATAGCTCCGCGACATTAACAACATTCGCACTTTCATTTTTGTTAATTCTCTTCGAACTAAATTACCTCAAGCTAGCAGCTAAATGAAACAATCAATATATTTCGTTATCGCGATTTATCGCGATTTGAAGGGAACAAAATCGCACGTATCTATATTAACATCTCGCTTTCAGAATTCGACACAATTGGGAACATCCACATTACGGTTCTACCGTAATACGTATGAATCATGAAAAAATTATTGATACATTTATACATCCCGATAATTAAATAAAAAAATTTTGGGATTCACATCGTATAACGTCGTGTTTTCATTACACATTTATGAAACTTACGAACTTTCGATTTTTCCTTGTATCAAAATCCATTTCAATCAGAAGAAAAATTATCGATGGAAGAATTCTTCGAGGATTACCTGGAATTCTCGCCAAAGTTAATACTCATGGTTAAAACCGATTCAATTGCGGACAAAAGTTCTGATCGA